GGAGCACAGTCCGTCGGTAGAGGAGCACAGTCCGTCGGTAGAGGAGCACAGTCCGTCGGTAGAGGAGCACAGTCCGTCGGTAGAGGAGCACAGTCTCATTGAACCTGATAGATTTTTTAGTTCAGTGAGACCCAGTGGGACTTCTTGCCTCCATAACTGTCTAATATTAATCATTTCTTCTCCTCCCTCCCTCCTCCCTCCTCCCTCCTCCCCTCCCTCCCTCTTCCCCCTCCCTCCCCTTCCTCACCTCTCATGTGTGCTCACATACTCCTGTGTGGGTGCATGTGGAGACCAGAGATGCACTTCAGGAGTCTTCTCCAGTCGTCCTCTATCTTGTTTATTTATTTGGGACAAGGTCTCTCACGCAACCTAGAGCTCACCCATTGGCTAGAGCAGCGAGCCCCAGGGACGCCCCTGTGTCCCCTTCCCCAGCACTGGGACTGCAGACCCACAGCTTGGCACTGGGCTGATTTCTATGGGAGCCGGGCATCTGGACTCAGGCCCTGGTCTTTGCACCGCATGCTGCGGTGGCTTTCAGGGAAGCAGCTGCCTTTGGTCCACGCTTCTGCAAGCAACCGCTCACTCACATTCCTGTAAGTAACCCGGGTAAACGCATTGGTTCACCGAAGCGGACTTTGGTGTGTTGCTTTGGTCTGTTGTTGGTTTGCTATCCGGGCTGAGTAAATATCTGTTCACGTCTCCCCAAGAATAGCGTTACAGGGCAACATCCCACGCCTTGGCTCCTACCCCAGGAACTACCCCAGGAAGTAACGGAGAGCGCGCGAGCTAGCTGGCTTGCAGCTACTGGACACAGCACCTCAGCTGATGGGAGAGCAGCAATCAGACACTTACGGCCTGGACATCTGGTAGGGAGAAGTGCTGATACCGGTTTGGTACCTCTGTATTACAAGGGATGCAGGGTTTTTCTAGTCCCACTCTTCCATCTTTAATGGGGGGACGGGCAGGGGTAGCATTATCCCCCTTTGATTGGGGTAGGAGGGGCCTCCAGTGTAGGGCTCTCTAACAGAAAAGAAATTTAAGCCCCAAGGCCAAGGAAGCCGTAAGGGAAACAAAAACACTAGCTGCACAAAAAACACCCCCTATTCTTTCTTCTAGGTTGTATTTTATTTTCAGTTATGTGTATATGTGTGTATCTGTTTGTTGGTACTTGCATATGAGTGCAGAAATCCACAGGGACCAGAAACATCAGATCCTCCTGGATCTGGAGTTATAGGTTGTTGTGAGCCGGCTAATGTGGGTGCTGGGAACTGAACTCATGTCCTCTGCAAATGCACCCTTAACTGTTGATCCAGCTCTCCAGCCCTGTTTCTTGACAGCTGGAGCCTGGAGCACAGGAACAAGGCTGGAAAAGGAGCAGATGGTGGACCACAGAGATCGTCAGAAGTCACTTTTGACAGCTCTTCCCTGATCGGTCCCATCTCTAACTTTATTTGCATACCCACATCCATCCACTCAGTGTCCTGCTGACACTCCATAATTCATCATTCTGGAGCTGCAGGAATGGAAGATGAGAACTTGTGGAGGAGGAAGAGACAGCAGACTGGGCCACAGACTCCCCAGAAGCTCCCTGCATCTGAGGCTTCTGCCCTGGGCAGGGAGCTCACTGGAGCCAGGCCCTAAGCCTCCACCAAAGGCTGGGAGCAGAGGGACTCATTCCTGCCTCAGCCTGCAGCACAAGTTGCAGCCGCAGACAGGAATTTGTTACTGCATCTGCTTCTAGCCTTCCAGAGCTGCCAGGGACCGGAGACCTGCCACCCTGTTGATCCTGCTGGTGACCTGCTCTCTGCAGACTTCTCTGCTGGGGACCTCTCTTAGCTGACACTCCCGAGGCCCTCTGAGAGCCTCCCGGAGCTGTGACACTTGTCAGAGCAGGGATGGCTCTTGGCTCGCGTCGCACTGCTACCAAGAGTTTGAATCGGATGGACTTAAATTGTCAAACCCCACATGACCGTCTGTTTAAAGTTAATTCATCCCAAGTCATTTAGCTCCAAGTTAGTAATAGAGCACTTCCTGTTTGAACATTCTTGGCTCCTCCCATTCCCTTCTCGGAAGGGCGATAGCTGGAGACAGGGCACAGCCTCGCCCATTGCTTTGCTTGACGTAGCACTATTAGCTGCTGTCAGTCAGGGCCTCTTGGTTTCACGACAATGGCCTTTTGCAAGAAACGTTACCCCCCAAACTTAGCGACACCGGACCACTTGTCTCACGTCTAAAGTAGAGACGCAGTGTGCACCCCTGGAGGCGCCATTCCCAAGGGATGTGACTGCCGTAGTCGGGTAGGCATCAAGGCTCATAGGGTGTATGGCTTCCCGAGTACCACTGGGGGATTGCAGAATGGGGAGGGTGAAGGACCCGGAGTAAACAGCCAGCAGTGCCTGCCCCAGGCAGCCACAGTTTTCATGACAACAATGTTCACTCGAGTGTTACTATACATATAAAGTGGAAACTATGAAGGCCAGAAATGACCGTACCTTTATTTGAAGGAGGGAGTCCCTGACATTAAAATGAGCAGCATTGGCTTCCTACCAGGTCTGCCCAACTCCAGGCGCACATTCTCACTGGCTTCCTTCCTAGGGTTTAACAAACCACTAACAACAACAGGACTGAGGAACACAGAAAGCTGCCCCACCCCCCAACTTTAGAAAACACCCAAAGCACCATGGCACACTCCTCTCTAAGAGCTGGGATTAGTGGGGAGATTCCTCTCGGACCCACCCCCCAGCTGTTGTCTCCGCCCTCGCCTTTGCTGGAGATGGAACCCAGGGCTTTGCATGTGAGAAGCACCTGCTCCACCCCTCAGCCACACCCTGGCCCTGGGCGGTCACTTCTGAGAGACCAGTAGACTCTTCTGGGATCCTTTGCTGGGCCCCTGCTGAAAGGGTGAACAGCTGAAGGTGTGTAGTCCTCCCTGGGTTCTACCAGCTTTCCCGGATCCACTGTCGTCACTGTGTAGTGACGTCCAGACAGCATAAAACCTCCAGGCGCGGGTAGGGCGTGTGAAAAGCATGGATGGAAGAGAAGCAGTTCCTTGGAGAGTCTGGATGACGACACTGCAGCGACTTTCAGCACTAATAGATGGTGGTTTTGAAGCTCAGGATTTTTTTTTTTTTTTGGCTTCAGGTCATTGTCTTAAGCTGTCCATCTTGATGTCCTTGTCCTAATGTATTTGACGAACAGTCGTGGAGGCTGCAAACCGTGCTACTTGGTTACATTTCTCAGGTCACCTAACTTCTAGAAAAGTCGCCCCTCCCCCCCCACCGCCCCTGATCTGTTTCACAAGGTAATGCTTGATTCCGAGTTGGTCTTTCTGTTCGTTAACAAGGGTGGCTAAGGTTTGGTGGGAGAGGAAAAATTACTGCTTTTTTGTAACTTAAATTGGACAGTTCTCAAAATTGAACTTTTTTTTTTTTTAAGATTTATTTATTTATTATGTGTACAGCATGTATGACTGCAGGCCAGAAGAGGGCACCAGATCTCATTACAGATGGTTGTGAGCCACCATGTGGTTGCTGGGAATTGAACTCAGGACCTCTGGAAGAGCAGCCAGTGCTCTTAACCGCTGAGCTATCTCTCTAGCCCCCTCAAAATTGAACTCTTATTTTCCCCTCAAAGCCTTACAGTAGCATTGGTGACTTATTTTCTCTAAATGGTCAGATAGTAAATGCTTCATGACAGCTGTTGAAACCACCAGTCTGGCATTTAGTGCGAACGCAGGAGGTGTAGACTGTATATGAATGAATGAACACCAGTGTCCCCCCAGAGATGTTATTCAGGAATACAGAATTTCTTTTTCTTCCTTCCTTCCCTCCCTCCTTTCTTCCTTCTTTCTCCTTTTCTCTCTCTCTCTCTCTCTCTCTCTCTCTCTCTCTCTCTCTCTCTCTCTCTCTCTCTTTTGAGACAGGGTTACTCTGTGTAACTGCCCCGGCTATCCTGGAACTCACTCTGTAGACCAGGCTGGCCTCGAACTCACAGAGATCCATCCACCTGTCTCTGCTTCCTGAATGCTGGGATTAAAGTCATGTGCCCCACCCCAGCAGGAATTTCAAATGCCATGAAACGTTATTTTCCTTTTGATTTTCAACAATTGAAAACACAGAGGCAGTTCCAGAGCACAATGGCTCACTCCTGTGACCTCAGCACTTGGGAGGCAGGAGCAGAATTGCTGCAAGTCTGAAGCTAGTCTTGTCTGTATGGTGAGTTCTAGGCCAATCAAGGCTACATAACAAAATGCTGTCACAAAAGGAAAAAGAAATCATCAGAGGTAGGTATGATGGCACACATCTGTAACTTGGGAGGCTGAGGCAGGAGGATCTCAAGTTTGAGGCCAGCCTGGCCTACATAGCAAGATCCTGTCTCAAACAAACAAACAAACAAAAAACAAACAAACAAAACAACAACAACAACAACAAAACCCAAACAAACAAATGAACAAAAAAACAAAACAAAAAATATCAAACCCAAAAAATACAGGTCTTTAACCCCAGCACTCTGAGGCAAAGGCAGGTGGATTGTTGTGATTTTGAGGCCAGCCTGGTCTATGTAGAATTCCAGGTCAATCAAGGTGACATAGTGAAAACCTGAGAAGAAGGAGAAGGAAGGAGGAGGAGGTGGAAGGAGGAGGAGGAGGAGGAGGAGGGAAGAAGAAGGAGGAAGAGGAGAAGGAGAAGAAGAAAGGCTGGGTTGACAAGATGGCTTGAAAAGGTGCTGAGTTCGGTCCCTGGGACTGATGCAGGAAGGAGAACTGACTTCTGTAGGTTGTCTGACCTCCACACCTGTCCCGTGCTCACAACTCTCTACTCTTACACATGAATTACTGTAATGAAGACAACTTTTTTAAGTATAAGATGACTACTACCAAATATATATATATATGGCAAGGACTTGGAGAAGCATTTGTTATCAGGAGTATAAACCACTACAGAAAACAGTGTGACAATTCCTAAAATAATAAAAAATAGAATTACCGTACAGGCTAGTAATTCCATGTCTGGGCATACAGCTGCAAGAATTGAAAACAGGATCTGAAAGAGACATTTGTCCACCCATGTTTCTGGTGATATTTATGATAGTCAAAAAGTATAAACAACCCAGATGTCAATGACAGGTGAGTCACTGGACAGATGTGCAATGAAATACCATACAGCTCTAAATAGAAGGGAATTCTGGTGCACACACAACATGGATGACCTGGAAGAACAGTCCTGAGTGAAACAAGCCATTCACAAAGAGACAAACACCCCATTCTACAAAAAGCTAGTTGCAGGGTCTGAGGAGGTGGCTCAACCTGAGAACCCAAGTTCAAATCCCTAACACCCACGTAAAAAGCCCAGCATGACGACAGTCCAGTGCTGTAGGAGGATGGCAACAGAAGCATCATTCAGACTTGTCCAGGTTCACTGAGAGACTCCGTCAGAAAGGAATATGGCAGAGATGATAGGGCAGGACACCTGACACCCTCCTCTGACCTTCACACTTGCTTAGGGCCATACACTGCTGCACATATACTCATTGAAGCTCATATACCACACATGTTTACACACACACAAAAAAAATAAGTAAAATAATAGTAAGTTTATTGTACTAACTGTAGAAAGTGGTTCAGCAAATGACTGATTCCACTAACATAATTTATAGAGAGTAGTCAAATCCGTATAGATAAAAGGCGGATTGGTGGCTACCAGGGCTGGAAGGAGAGGATAGGGACTGTTCAATAGGATTTGAGTTTCAGTGTTGTTGTTGTTAAATGTATTAGGTGCGCACGCGAGCGTGAGAGAGAGAGAGAGAGAGAGAGAGAGAGAGAGAGAGGG